CAAGAGGAGAATAGAGTAGAAGGGATTGTGGTGTGGCCATCCCCCCTGGTGGATGATTTCTCACTTTCTGTCTCTCTGTTTCTCTGGCAAGTGCATGTACCCTATATAACAAAAATCTCTCTAAAAAAAAGTCTGCTCAGAGACAAAAGGGAGTTACAAGAGTTTGAGCCATTTTCTTTATTACCAAGTTCTCTTTTGGAGGAGGCAATTTGGAGTGCTAAATGAAATGGTGGTAAGTGCACATGGTGTTCCAAGTCGAGTTGTCTAAATAAATGGATGTTGATGAATCACCAGGACCAGATGGCATCTACCCAGATTCTGGGTAAAATTGTGTAACAGCTGACCAAAGTGTATAGCCTGCCGTTCCAAATAGCTATTGTGCCATAAGCCTGGCAGATTGGCAATGAGTCTTCTCTCCGTGAGATGCATTTATAAGTTTATTCACCTATTTCTTCCATGAGCAATAGAGAGAGCGAAAGATAGAAGTGCTATAGCACCCCCAATAGGGTCTTGATGCTCCCAGTCCCTTGATTCGGCCAGTCCCAGACCATGGGCAAGCCATTTCTCCATTGTACTCAGGGAGGTCTCCAGATGCTAACTGGGAACCTTCCCATGAGGGTCAGCCTCACAGGGCATTGTGTTTTACCAATGCAACACCATCTAGCCCCTCCATGAGAAGCACTGAACAGGGGTACAAGAAACTTCAGGCTAGTAAGTTCACTGAATATATTAGGCAAGTGTAACATATTGGGGGCAAGGCATCATTTTCCCTATAAATTAAATAACCGCCATCTGTATAGTGTTTTACAGTTTACAAAGCACTTAAAGTTAATCATGCCTAACAATTAGACTAGAATTCTTTGAGAGGATAAATGTGCATGTGGACAGTGGGAAACCAGGAGTGTAATCTATTTAGATTTTGCAAAGGCTCTTGTCAAGGTTCCACATCAAATATTGTTTTAAAAAGCTAAGTCATCATGGAATTGAGGAGTGGTGTTTTGAAATAGTTAGAGAAGTGGTTTATAGGTAAGAAAGCATAAGTACGAATAAGCAGAGACTTTTGGGGAGAGGTATGAATGCTGGTGTGTCCCAAAAGTCAGTGCCAGGACTAGTTAACATTTTGGTAAATCCTCTAGGCAACCTTTAGATGACCACAGGTTTTTCCAGGCAGTAAAATGCAAAGCTGACTTCAGTCTTTTTATGATTGTCTTGATGAGCAGAGAAAAAAGTCAGAGTAGACTTATTCAAGGAGTGGCCTTTGAAACCTGACTGCCTGGCCCTGAATCCTGACTCTGCTCTTAGTGACTGCATGACCTCAAGCAAGTCACTCTCTCTTCTAGCATCAGTTTTCTTATATGTCAAGTGAGAAGAATAATAACTCCTAATTCATAGTAGTGCTGTGAAAATGACATGAGACAATGTATGTGAAGCTCTGGCACAGTGTTTAGAGTGTGGCATCTCTTAAACATTACCTTTTATTATTTTTACTTTTTATGTTTATTAAACATTCTTTTACGACCAGTAGATGGTGTAATGGTTACATCGCTGGACTCCCATGTCGTTGACTGTGGTTTGAGTCCTGGACCTGGTGGCTTGAGATTCACACCAGGCGCTTGTGAGTGCATGCCCAGATTCCTGACAGGAGAGTGAAGGAGAAGGAATTATGGTGTGGCCATCCCCTGGGGAGTGATTTCTGTCTCTCTGTCTCTCTGGTGAGTGCACATGCCCTATAGCAAAAATCTCTCAAATATCCCCCTTTCCAAAACAAACAAAACAACATTCTTTTAGTAGGATGCCAGACCCTGAGTATTCGTTTTACGCCCTATGGAATCTAGGAGCCACTGCAGATTATTTCTTGAAAGCACTGGCAATATTTGTTTTAGTAATTAAGAGGACAGATAACATGGGACTAAGCTGGCTGTGAATGATTTAATGGAAGGAAACTAACAATTATGAAGTACCTACTATGTGCTAGTATATGCTAGACACTGGGCTAGGGACTTTATAAACTTTCCCACTGACTTAGTCCTGTAATAGTCCTACAAAGGTGGGGTTGTGATCCCCATTTCATGCATGAGGGAATGCAGACTCGGAGAGGAGGTTAACAAACTTGTCCCAGATTATGCTAGCTCATAAGTTGTAAAGCCAGAATTTCAATACAGGTTTGCTCCACTCCCAAAGTTATTTTCTTTTCAGTGCATCATACTTGAATTGCACCTGGAAGGATGAGTATGATTTAAGAAGAAAGAAAAGGCGTCGCTGTATAAAGATAAAATGGGCAATGGTATGAAGAAAGAAATAAACAAGAACACTATGTTCATGGGGTTTGTGGGGCAAGAATACGGCTGTTCCTACCAAAGTGGAGGGTTCCAGTGGGGCTAGTATTGGGAAATAAAGTGAGCAGGGTAGTTTTGGCTAGACCAGAAGGCCCTCAGAACTCAGCTCAAGAGACTGAGCTTTATTCTCAAGGCACAGGAGACAGAATGAAGGCAGTTGAGCTAGGGAGAGGAATGAGATGCTTTACAAAGGTGAACCTGGCTGCTGTGCCATATTAATTTGATGGAATCTTCTGCCTTGGTTTCTCATTCTTTGGTCTCTAATCTGCTAGCCCAAGTCTCCAACGACCTCGCCTTAGCCTGGAAGGCTGGAGACAACTTAGGATGTGATTGCCAATAGCATATGCAGAAGGGCGGGAAGCAGAAATAGAAAGGAAGCAGTAACAGGAGCAGAAAAAAGACAATCAACAGGGATTTGGGGCCCCATTGCATATGAGGGGCAATGGAGAAGAAAGAGTCAAAGGTGACTTTAGTTTTAAGCCTCAGTGACTAGGAAAATGGTGGTAGCATTAGACCACCATTAATAAGGATATTAAGGGAGAAGCCAGTTTGGGAAGGTCATTTAATAAATTTGACTTATGACACATCAGGTTGGGGATAATGGTGGAGAAGTCAGGTAGAGATGATTAGTAAGCAGCTGGAGATACGGAATGGTAGCTTGAAGGGCAGTTGAGGCTGATGGTAATGATTTTAAAAGTTATCCCCATAGAAATATAATAGCTAAAGAATGTTCATTGTAACATTATCCACAATAGCCAATGGGGAAATAACCTAAATGTCCATCGATGGATGAATGAAGAAAGAAAATGTGGTACAAATAGTACAATGGAATATTATTCCTCTTAAAAAAGAAGGAAATCCTGCCATATGCTACCATATGGAGGAAGCTTGACGACATTATGCTAAGTGGAATAAGCCAGTCACAGAAGGACAAATACTGCATAATTCCACTTTATACAAGCTATCTAAAGCACTCAAATGCATAGAAGCAGAAAGTAAGATGGGGGTTGTCAAGAGCTTGGGGAGAGAGAAACAGGGAGTTACTGTTTAATGGGCATAGAGTTTTAGTCATGCAAGATGAAAAAGTTCTAGATATCTGCTAAACAATATTGTGGATATAATTAACAATATTGTACCATAGACTTAAAAGTTTGTTAAGAGGGCAGATTTTCTGTTATTATTATTTTTTTACCCCAATGGAAAAATAAAAGAACTTAAAGAAATCATAAGAAAAAACTAGTTGAAACAAGGAGAATGGAGAAGGGAGAAAAGACAGAGGTTTAAGAAAAGACTACTAGATAAAATTCAGTTTTAGGGTAGGTTTAGGTAAAAGAGAGAGTGAAGGAAAAAGGCTGCAAGAGTAATAGGTGTACATAGTGTCTCAGAGGCTATCAGTGATAGGACTTCTCTTCTTCCTCTTCTTCTTCTTCTTTTTTTTCTTCTTCTTCTTTATTAGAGAAAGAGATTTTTGCTATAGGGCATATGGACTTGCCAGACAGAGAAAGAGTGAGACAGAGAGAGAGAAAGCAAAAAATCACCCTCTGGGGGGAATGGCCATACTACAATCCCTTCTCCTCCATTCTCCTCCTGGGATTCTGGGCATGCATGCACATGTGCATGGTGTGAGTTTCGCACATTTGGGTCTGGAACTTGAACTGTAGTCGGCCATGTGGGAGCCCAGCACCTTAACCACTACATCCCCTGCTGGCACCATGGGTGATAGGATTTCTTTCTTTCTTTTTTAAAAGAAATATTTATTTACTTAATTCAATTTGTTATTATTATTTTTAAATTTAACCAGAGACACAGACAGAGAGAAAGGGAAAATGAGAAAGCAAGCCACCAGTTCCGAAACTTGAATTGTGGTTGGCCATGTAGGAATCCAGCGCTTTTAACCATCATGCCACCTGCTGGCCCCATACGATTTCAAGAAGGTTGCGTATTGTAGAGGAAAGAGCATGGCAGTGGAAGTCTCGAGACCTGAGTTAGATTTCCAGTTCTTTCATTTAGAGAAATCTCATTTTTTAATTGAGTTTAATTTTTTTAATTTGTAAAGTGATCCACATGAAAGTACTTTGTAAACTGAGATATGCAGTACAAATTTGTGGGAGTTTTCAGTGTTGTTTTGCCTTCTTGATCCCAATGGCCCTATATTATCTCTGCTGCTGTTGTTCCTATGTAGCTCTGCAGTGATGTATCCTAGCCTATCTATATCAGACTCTTATAAGAAAACAAAATAGATATGATGTTCTAGGAAGACAGGGACAGCTAATGCTCTTCCTTTGAAAGTTAAGCATCCCTGGTTTTCACAAGACTACCAAAGTTGCATTCCTTATTTTGCATTTCTTTTTATGACAGAGATAAGCCAAAGAAATCTCCCATGGGAAACAGAGCCCACTGATTAGGTCAGTTCACTTCAGACAGTAAAAAACAGGAAGTTACCCTTTCAATCTACCCAGGGCCAGAGATGAAAAGGAAAACAGGCTACCCGAAAACTTTACCTTTTAAAGAATAGTATAGGCTTTTCTTGAGGAGTCAGTGGCATTGTGTATTGCAAAGATTTTAGGGAGTTGTAGAGAGCATGTTCAGCTGAAGTTTAATTCCTCCCCAAGCATCATATTTCGCCATATTTAGCCCATATTCATGGCAGCGCTGATCTGTTACCTGCAAGGAAGCGGAGCTGATTCTTCACTTTCATCATTCCATCACCAGAACCTCCAATGCACTCATCTTCATCGTCACCACAGTCTCCACTTTCAAGCCCTTCCTCATCCAGGTTTTTATCCAGAACTCTACCTTTGGGCACAGACATGGTTCTCAGGAGCTGAAAGAAAACAGCACAAACACAACAAAACCGCTCTTTACATTTTTCTGGTAGGTCTAGACCAGTGCGTTATTAAAACATGTTGAATGAATTACACAGAAGCTTCTAAAACTCATTCAAATTGCAATAGATATAACCTATTTATGCCCTTAGAGTTCATACTTTTAGACCTTTACACAGCATGTGACATGATTCTCCCCTCCATTTACATAGTAGCCAGCGTATATATTGCATTATATCTTCCCTTACCACGGTATTTAAATTTGGAACTTGATATTGAAATAACTTAGATTATTTAAGAAATTGTGTGATCAATAAAATGTGAGGGAGGAATGGAAGACAACTGTAAACACCAGAGATGGTGTGGGAAGAGGGTGGGAAAGGGCAGAGAGTCAGAAATAGGGGTAAAATATCAGGATCAGCAGTTAGCGTAATGGGTATGTCACTGGACTCCCATGTAGTCGACCACAGTTCTTGTCCAGGACCCAGTGGCTTAAAACTCACGCCGGGCACGTGTGCGTGCATGCCCAAGATCCTGAGAGGAGAATGGAGGAGAAGGGATTGTGGCATGGCCATCCCCCTGGGGGTGATTTCTCGCTTTCTGTCTCTCTGTCTCTCCCTGTCTGTCTGGCGAATGCATGCGCCCTATAGCAAAAACCTCTCCAAACAAAAAAAAAAAAGAAAGAAATAGGGGTAAAATATATATAAAGAAAGAAAGAAGGAAAGAAATGATTAGATTATGGTACATACAAAAAGAAATAAAAAAGAAAATCCATTGATTTAACAAACAAACAACAAATTAAAAAACTTAAGAAGTGATAAAAGCAAAGCATATATATAGGCTAGGAGACACCAAGATCAGAGAAGATCCCTACAGAAGCCCTATTGTCTAACTATATTTACATTCACTAAAATAAAACAAAAGCTTTTTGCCAAATGAGGAAAATATTGGTGCCATGTTGTATACATTTTAACTTTTCTTTTTAAAAAAGTTTGTTTATTTATTTCATGTGCAAGAGAGACAAGGAAAAAGAGAACGAGTACCTCAAACAGTCCTGATGCCAGGACCCACCTTCCCAACCTTAGCCAGCCCCTGATCCTTCGAATGCCTGGAGTACTTAGGGAGGTCTTCGAATATGCACCCAGAGCACTCCCTACATAGGTCAGTCTCACAGAGTATTGCACTTTACCACTCACCACCATCTGGCCCCTTGCACACATCTTAAATGAACATATGCTTTGATCACCAGAAAATCTTTAAAATATTTCTTTTTTGCACAATTTGAGTAAGATGCCTTTCAACCCATTTTGATTTATTGTAGATTTTACCTTTACTAATAGACATGTTTGTTTTGCTGTTCAGTGTCTGGATTTTCAGTCACATGGCCAATGCCTTCCTAATTTTACAGAATTCAAGATCCAGCCCTTAGTATGCATGGTCTCTATGGGCAGTTGTCAGGCTTCATTTTTCTTTCCTTACCAATTCTCTTAAGGCTTCATCCTAATAGCTTTTATTTCTGTTCTAGCTTCTGCCTCATCACCCATTTCTAATCTTCAATCTCAGCCAACCCTGCTAGATACACGGGGACATATTTTTTGTGATGTGTGGAAGAGGTATCCAGGAAAAAAGAAATGGCATATACACAGGCAAGTCTTAGTTTCTGTGGTTTCCATTGTCACTGTGTTTATTGGCATTGTTAAGTACACTTTTTTGTTCTCCCCCTGTGATTTAGTTGCTATACCAAGATCTACTTAGAAAAAGTTAAATACCGTAGAGAATTGTGAGTTAGCAGGTGTATTTTCTTTATTTGGTTTTTGGTTTATAAGCAAAGAGAGAACATTCTAACAGACTTCTTTCCTGGACAACCTCCAATGCTGTTGGAGAAGTGAACCCACCTACTATCTCTCAGTCCAGTACCATTTGCCTCCTGACCATAATGCTTTCACTCTCTAGCTTCCCATCCTTTACTGGTCGTCCCACACATCCCAGTTTATAATATATAAATGCAGGCTAGGATAAACTAAACTATTGGATCTTAAACTTTTTGGTCTCAGGACTCCTGTATACTTTTATTACTGAGAACCCCAGATAACTTTTGTTTATACAAGTTTTAGCTGTTGACATTAATCATCTTAGAAATTATAATTGAGAAATATAAAAAATATTTGATATAGTTCATTTAAACATAACAACTCGTGATGTGTTAACATCGATTTTTAAAAAAGTTTATTTTAATTTTATCTATTATTACTACTTTTTAATTTGCTATAGATCATATGCACGCGCATGTGCACATGTGCGCACGCGAGAGAGAGAGAGAGAGAGAGAGAGAGAGAGAGAGAAAGCGAGCTACCAGGTCCAGGACTAACCACGGTCAGCCATGTGGGAGTCCAGAGCTTTAACCACCATGGCACCTGCTGACCCCAACACAGACTTTTTAAGAGATTTTTGGCATAGAGCATGTGAACTTGCCAGAGAGACAGAGAGAGGAAAAGTGAGAAAGCACACACTCTCAGGGGGGATGGCTACACCACAATACCTTCTTCTCCATTCTCCTCTCAGGATTTTGGGCATGCATGCACATGTACCTAGCATGTTTTTTAAGCCACTGTGCCTGGGACTCAAACCGTGGTCAGTCATGTGGATCCACTGTCTTAACCACTATACCATCTGCTGGCCCAACATAGATATTTTTAAATAAAAAATAAACATGTTCTCCCAGACAGAAACCAATTAGTAGCAAGAATAGCATTGTTTTGCATTTTTGCAAATATCTTTAATATCTGACTAAATATAAGATAGCTGGATTATCATATCTCCTTCTCTATTCAATTTGTTGTGATATGTTGCTTTGGTTGAAATATTCATAGAAAATCCAGCTTTCCCTAGGTATGTAGTAGGAAAAGAAAGAATTTTAGTAGCCTTTTCAGATAATTGTGGACACTTTCCTTTGGTACTACATAAAAATTTGACAAGTTGTTTCAATGTGGAATACGAAACTATATAAATGAACATTTCATGCCCTGGTACATTAAAATTCTCTTGTATGTTTGAACTCTGAGCTTTTTACTCATTTTGTATCATCATACATTCATCATCTGGAAAACACTCACTCACTGATCTGTGCAGATAGATCTTCCACGTATTGATAACTTTCATTGGAAGATTAAAAAAAAATCACATTGATTAATCACACCTCCAGACTCATCAGAAAAGTCATTAAGTACTGGAAAGCTCTCAAGCTTATGGTGGCAGATACAAGCTTTTTTTTTTTTTTTTTTTTTAATAAAACTCACTTTTATGGAGCAAACATGTTTAATTAATATTATTTAGTATTCTATAACAATCCTAACCTGTACTCAAAAATTTTCCCAAACCTCCATTAACTAAGCTACTATCTGTGCAAGTTTTTTTAAATCTTATTTTTTAAAAAATAATTATTTATTTTTATTTTTTTACTTATTCATTAATTTATTTCTTAATTTGACCAGAGAGAAACAGAGGGTGAGAGTGAGAGAGAGAAAGGAAGTGAGAAAGCAAGCCACCAGATTCAGGACTCAAACCCTGGTCAGCCATGTGGGAGTGTCCAGCGCCTTATCCACCACGCCACCTGCTGGTCCCAAAATCTTATTTTTTTTAAACATTCAATTGTTATACATCATTTGGCTTGTAATGAGAATTTACCCAACATGAAATACATCTCAGCACAGTCCACTTGAGAATAGACGTTGTCATCAACAGGCAATAAACCATTTCTGTATCCCACAAATGTCTTGCCTCTCTATTTTTTCTACCTGATTTCCTTCCCTGTATTCTTCCCCTTCTCCCACCCTTCCTCCACACTGTCTCCAGTGTCCACAACTATTTTCAGTGCTTTTATATTCTCCAGTCTTTTTATCTCTACCATAGAGTATGGACAGTCTTTAAATTTTTTTTTTTTTCTTGAAAATTTGAGGTTTATCATTGGCAATAAATACCACTAATTGCTTTCTTGAACTGGCAGGCTCTCTTTGCTCCTCTGTTATTTTGTTCAAATCAATTGTTGTCTTTTATTACTATCTTTAAAATATCATATAATGGCCTTAGAAATCATCTGACTTGTTACTGTAGTAGCTAGAGAACTTTTAGACCTTACTCAGCCTGCTAAACTGTTCCCTTTTCAGAGACATAGATACCATTCAATAATTTTCTTATATCCTCATTTTTAACCGCCATGGATTTCTGTATCAGAGCAGCTGAAATTGAAACTAGTTCAACGATATTGTCTTCAATGATCAACTCATCTTTCTGGGCTTGAGATATTGAACAAGCAACATCTGGTTGCATTCAAACCCTCCAGATGCATTTTTCACGCAGGAAATTTCAGATTTCAACAAGAGACCCATTCTCCCGAATAACGATGTTGAAGGGGAAATGAGCATACACAGACCTCATCTTGTAGTGGAAGCCCAGTGTAACACTGTGGATCACGTTCTGTACGTGACTACAGATATTGCAAACTGTAGCCAGTTCCCTTGTGTTTCCCCACCATTGTAAACCCGCAGCCTCTTCTTTTTCTTTCAAAGGAGACTGAGCTCTACACTGATGCGCTTGAAGTCTCTCCACAGGGTTCCACTGGGGCCCTTCTCAATAACTGTGCTTCCCATCAGAGTGATGTTGACATTTCTAGAATGTTGACAATCTGCTGAGAATGGTCTTCATCCTCGAAGTTGACATGGAAAAAAACGCTCTTTTTTTTTTTTATGTCTATTGAATACTCAAGAAGTCTGCATAACCATAGTCTATCAGTCATTCAATCAAATGAAAATGAAAAAAGAGGTTTGTTTAGCTCATAGTTCTAATAATCTCACAGATGCTTTTCCTTAAGAGACACATTGCCACGCAGTTTGTAGCATAAATACTTTAAGTGTATTTCTCATATGATAACATAGAATATTTTAAGCTGTCCTCAAGGGTGGAGATTCAGTAAATTTTTTTATAGCTTCAGCAATGATATACT